CCTGCTGCCCAGTGCCTAGACAGATACCTGGCACACAGCGAGCACTCAATGAATATTTGTTGAGTGACTATATGAGTAAATGTCTGTTAGTCCATCCTTCCAGCCTCATTTCACACACCGTGTATGATCCTCACTCTACAGCCCTGCTTGAGTGCTTAGACTTCTGAGCGAGTTAGGTCTTTGCACATTTTGCTCCTTCTGCCTGCACATGCTTGGTTCACAACTACTCATTCTTTAAGACTCAGCCCCCATATTGTTTGTCATCCATGGAAAACTCTGTAACTTGTAAACATGATGCAGAGTGTATGTACAAAGTGCTCTATGTGGTATCTCAAAAATAACCGAAGGAATCAAGTAGGAGGGGGTGGCCTTTGAACTGAGGGGAAAGCATGTGTTCAGGGGCATGCAAAAGTAGTGCCTGTTTCTGTGGAGTGGTTCTGGAAAACTGGAGTCCAGGGCGCCTCAGGAGAGGAAAGGGGAAGTGGGACAGTCAGCGCAGACCCTGACTGGCACACTCAGCAGCCTGCACTTCGCATTCCCAGTTACCAGGCAGCCACCGAGGTTCTGTACGAGGGGAGTGATGTTTGCATTCATTCCTTAATCTCCTACCAATACTTGACGTCCTAGTTCCTATTTGCTGCTTCCTGGTCTGACTTCTTCTCATACCAGGCTTTCAAGCCCTTTCAGTTTAGATGCTGTATGGATGCTGGGAAGGAGGGGAGAACCAGCTGGTCCAAGGGAAACGAGCAGAAAGGCTGAGCTGCCAAATACCAAACAGTAAGTAGGAAAAAGAACTCAAATTGGAAGTATCTTTCCTCTCTGCCCATGCAATCAGTTACCCTTCCCTGAGCTCCCTGTGTCAGAGGCCAGGCCCTGGATCCTGGGGTAGGTAAGAGAAATGGCTCTAAATGTCCAGCCTGAAGGTGCAGATTGCACTTCAGGAGACATACAAGGGCAGAGCAAGGAGCAGCTGCGGATTCTAAATAGTTACATGGAGGGGTCTGATGAGGTACTGGGGGGCTTCATGGAGGAGGGGAACATGGAGCAGGCTTAGGAAGATGAAGCAGAACTGGGCTGGGAAGAAAGTGAGGTGAGAATGACCCATGTCAAGTTTTATTAGGTGGGAAAGAATGAAACCTACGCTGCAGTTTTCCCAAGTGCTTTTAGTCTGGTAGCCTGTGTGCCAATGGCCTTGTGCAGCTACCCATGAGGCTCCTGTTGGGGAAGGGGGTGTGTGCGCCTTGGCAGGGGCTGTGGGTGGGAGCACGGGCCCTGGGTTCCTGGTTCCTGTTTCTTTCTTCCTCCTGTTTTGCACTAGGGACCACCTTTCTAGAAGCAAGGATATCTGGGTTCCAGATTCTTCCCTCTCTAACCTCCCCCAGACATAAATCACAAGTGATTTCATTAAATGCACCTCCTGCTGGGGATGTTGGCTCATAATTCCTCTCTGATTAACCCCCACTACCCCGGCAAGTTTATAGGCCAAGAATGGGAGGGGGTACAGGGGAGGGGAAAAGGAGGGTATGGGGGGAATCCCAGGCCAGTGATGGATGCCTCTGTCAGCCCAGCTCGTATTTATTAATAGTCTTAATACGGGAAGCAATAAAGGAAGAGAGGGATTCTATTAATTAAATCATTGTTATAATTAACTTTCATTAAAGGAGGATCAATAAAGAGGAGTTGAGATGGAGAGAGGAGAGATCCATTATCTCTAATTTCCTTGGAAGGGATTCAGGGAATGAAATGGGGTTGCTAGGAGACAGCGATGTGAGGGAAGAAGGAAGGATGTAAGATGTCATTCAGGTGGAGTTGGAAGGGGGGTGGGTAGGAGGGTTTCAGGTGGATAGAAGAAATGGTGGGGTGGCAGTGGCCCACCCAGGGGCCCTGAAGGGAATGAAGGGTGGATAAGGGAGCTACTGGGATAGTGAACAGGGGGGCGATAGGCATGGC